CTGAAAAAAAAAAAAAAAAAGATTACAAATTAAAATATTAATACACAAAAATACAAGTAAATATTTATTTGGATGATAATAATAATAATAATGACAGATGCACACTTGCTTACCAAAAGAGTAAAAAAATAAGCCGGAATCAAATTCCATGCTATTCCAATGAGCAAGAATGCTGGGATAAGTGATATAATTGCCTGAAATACACACATATGAAAACAAAAATGTAACAGGCCTTTGAGTAGTTAAACATTAAATCCTTTCAGCGTTCCAAGAAAATTGCCAGAACATTTTAATTGACTCGTGATCCAGTAATGCATGAAAGAGTTTACCACGCTAAGAGTCTGGATCTGATGGCCTGGTTTGATCCTGCGGGCATATCCGCCCTGGATCACTGCCATGGTAATGCCCATGAAAAAGAACATCTTCCCCTGCTGCATGCTACGACAAAAGAAGACAAGGGTTTCATTTGAAAAACTTCAGGCAAGACCACAGGATTCAGCTGCTCTATGATACACACACAATGATACCAGTATGTCACGTTTCTGATTAAGCAAAACACGTCTGTGCACGAGTGAATTGGTCAATTGAAATCGTATATTATCCCAGGGGTTAGCTACACTTGCCTTCAACCTTTGTCCTCTTTCCCCCATTCTGGTTGTTTATGCTATATAATAAACTCTCCCAAACTTCCTTGTTCCTGATGCCTACATACAGACAGTTTATCAGTTGAAGACAATGCCGTGCTTTATCATGTTACAATTTGAAAGCTGTTGTGTAAGCAACTGATGTGTAGAAGCAGTAACCACAGCCTTTTGTAGAGGTTGTTGGAAGCTGTGATGTTCAGAATTGACCTGTTAGCTCGAGATTCAGGCCTTACCTGGAAAATTGGAAGCGTTGATGTGTCAGAAAACTCAAAGTGAATTCCAACCCAGAGAACAGAAACAGATATGTGAAGTAAACCAATCCAAGCACCTTAAGATTTTCCATTTCTATTGCGGAAAAAAGTAAAATAATAATCAATTTACTGCGACAGTTATTCATCCTGATCCAAGTGAACACTTTTAGCTTGGCTGAAAGTTTATGCACTCACTTTGTTCAGATGGTGGATTCTCTGTTCTTTTCACAGCAGTGAAACTGAAAAGTGCAGCAGGGTGAAGAAGATCTCCAGATTGTTGAATACCCGAAGACTCTGATGTCCCGAGTCATGAAAAACATTCATTACATTCAGAATTTACAATGCTGTAAACAATTACAACTAATTTGAAGTCTATTCAGGAAGTGATTATAATTAAAGTCACATTGTGACTTTTTGTAAAGTTTTGCTGACCTTTTGTAAAGTTTCTGGCAGCATGAAGAAAATAAAAAGCAGGTCTGCTAAAGAAAAA